AACCTTACCCCAATACTCTCCAGTATATTAACCACATCATAAATTCTCCGCCGCTCAACTCCTATTCAATTTCCAGATATTCAACAACAAAATTTAGGGGAATAAATCCGCACCAATCAAAGCTTTATTTATTATTATCGAAATCTGATATAACAAAATCCGCATCAATTGTTGTTGAATCTATTGATAATACGCAAACACTACAAAAACCCAATCGCGAAAAGGGGAAAAACGAATAACCTAATTTTCCGGCAGCATCATCGAGCCCAATCAGATCAACACCGTCTCGATTATACAGATTCAGGAATCTGGATTAAGCAGAAAACATTGAATCACATAGAGAGATAAACCCAGCAAAAGATAATCAGTGAAATAAAAGGAAATGAATCCGATCAAAAATCTGAAGATGATGTTAAGAGTAGAGAGATTTTTACTTAATGACTAGAAGCCCCAGAGATTTGTCCTTGCGACTGTATTGCCGACCGAGAGGTTCCATTTTCCCTGAGAAACAACAAATGATATTTCCCGAGAAAAAAGGGTATTGAGAAAGGAAAAATGACTGATATATATAGCGAGACGAGAGAGATAGGGTGTGTTTGGATGTAGGGTTTGTTGTGACCTTGGAAACCATTTTTCTTAGGCGGGGGCTTTTCAAATTATTACACTTTGGCTAATTGTTATGGATGGTCAAAGAAAAATACACTTTGGCTATGGCAGGTTAATTATTGGTTAACCCTTTTTTTTTGGAAGCTTTATTATTGTTTGATTTTTTTTATTTTACTAGTTGACTTTCCGCGTAATATTTAAATATTAATATTTAATTAGGTTTAATTTAGTTTTGTAACGACTTGTTATGTGAATTCCGTATTCAAAGCTATAAATATGTTTCTAGTCATGTAGCTATTATAAAAATTAATGGTGAACATATTTGTCTATATTGTTTTTGATCTTGAAGTTTTTCTTTCTTTTTTTTGTATAGGTTGAGAAGCCTAATTTCGATCATCTATTCTTTGCATCTTTCTATATCTTTTTGTAACTCTAAATTTATCGTTGTTTTTAAAAGAGTTTTTTGTAGTCTATGTTACGATCTTTTTATTTTAGAATTTTAATCGTTATGTTAGTGTTCACATGTTTTTTCCATCTGTGAGTTCATGGCAAATCCGCTCCCTATAGAAAACTATTTTGAAGTTTAAGAAATAGCGGAATTTCTTTTTATACTTTAACGTCACAATAACCTCGTCGTCATTGATGAATTGTCCTTTCTTACACAACTTCAAAGGTTGGTATGCACTAAGCGATACTTTGGACTTTCTAACCTTTAACACATCAATAATTCTTCATCTTCCCAAATAGTGAAAAGGAATCCATTGTTTGGACTTAGTATACCATTGTGCTTAAAAATATTTCTCAGATGTTTGATTTGATTTTTATCGCTCAAAAAGAAAATTTTAAAAAATAAAATTTCCTCTATGGTCACCCGCAAAACAGTTCCCCTGCCTTATATTGGTAACAAAAGACCGGTTTTAATAAATGACATCTTGTCTCAGCTTAGTGAATTGAATTTTATTGGTCTCGATCTCGGGAGATCGTTATACAAACCTTAATGAAGACGAATTTATGCATAATGTTGAATATCATTTCTCTTTCTAGCCCATGATGATTATTTAAACGAATAAGTAATTGAGTTTTTCCAATTTTTACCAAGCCATATTAGAGGAACATTTATCCTCCATCAGTATGCAAAATATCGAATGTTAATGTGCTATAAAACCTTGTCCCAACTCAGTGAGATACATAAATTTTAAGCATATCATTTAATTTCTCAGTCTCGAGATATCAATTATACAAGCCTTAATAAAGGCTGATCAATGCAAAAACTGGATTCTCTAATCTTTGGACATAATTTGACAAGCATTACTTAAGAACATATGTCTCTGCTTTAAGCAAATTTTGCTTATGTTTTGTTAGGCAACATCAGACAATGCGACTAGTTTCACAAGTTAGAAACTGGACTGGCAACAATCATGTAATGTTGCGTCCCTTTCTTTTGGGTATGAAGAAAACATAAAACTTTTAACAAAATAAAATGAAAAGACAAAAAGAAATCCTCAAGAAACAATAATTAGATTTTGTAATCCGAAAATTTATTTTATAAAAACCTGAAATAAATCTTGAAAAACATGATCCAAATAAAGAAAAAAATGTGAAATAAAAAACCCTAAGACCGAAGAAACCGCGCATATAAAAAAACGGTTTTAATAGGAATACTGAGAATATATAGAAACCCTAATTTTTTGAAACGAATGTACATCTTACAAAAAAACACTAGATTGAAATTAAAAGCCCTAAAAATAAAAGAATATGAGTTCTACATTGAAATAAAAAAATTAAATCGAATTTGGAAAAAAGATACCGAATCTAAAAAAATACAATCATAGAGGTATTGTTATGCAATAAAAGAGGGTTGTTATGCAATAAAATTGACATAATTTTTTATAAATATTATATAAAGCAGAATGTGATTTAAGTAATCGCAAGATGTAAGTAAAATTAGAATTCAACAGAACGTCATATATGTAATTGTTTATATAGATAGTGATACGTGTCTGTATATTAATATCTATGTAATCAAATTATTGTGTAATTAAAAAAAACTAATAGATAAGAAAAAAGGAAAATAAGACATATTATTAAAGCAATAAGACTAAAAAAGACATTATTATATAATTAAAAAGAAATAATAAATCAAAAAGACTAAACAAAAAACAAGACATATTATTTCCAATTTCTAAAAGTAATATAGTGTGAGACATGATAAAATTGTTACTCATGAGACTATTACATGTGTCAAATTTTTAATTTAAAGATAAGTTTCCATATATTTTTATTTTGTGATATCTTTAGACTTTACTAATTATGTTTTATTAATGTTTTACTATTTTTTTAGTACTAATG